CCCCCCCCCCCCCCCCCCCCCGGGCCCTCCGCCCCCCTTTGGGGGCCCCCCCCCCCCACCCCTCCCCCAATGGGGGGACCCCCGGGGCTGCCCCGAGGGGAAAAACGGGGGAAAAATGGAGAAAAACGGGGAAAAATGGGGGGGAATTGCACAGAAAAATGGGAAAATGGGAGGAACAGGAGGGGAAAAAGGAGAAAAACGGGAAAATGGGGAAAAATGGGAAAAAATGTGGAAAAAGGAGAAAAAGAGGTGCCACTCCCCCCCAGGCCCCACCACGGTCATGTCCGACGCCACCAAAACCATCGTGGAGGCCATGGCTGAGCACGGCGTGCCCAAGGTGGTGGTGTGTCTGTCCGGTGAGACCCCACCCCAAAATACCCCAAATATCACCCAAATCCACCCCCAAAATCCACCCGAGGTGGTGGTGTGTCTGTCCGGTGAGACCCCTCCCCAAAATACCCCAAAATACCCCAAATATCCCCAAAATCCACCCGAGGTGGTGGTGTGTCTGTCCGGTGAGACCCCTCCTCAAAATATCCCAAATATCCCCAAAATCCACCCCCAAAATCCACCCGAGGTGGTGGTGTGTCTGTCCGGTGAGACCCCTCCCCAAAATCCACCCAAATCCACCCCCAAAATCCACCTAAAATATCCCCAAAATCCATCCAAAATATCCAAAAAATCCCCCCAAAAATCTCCCAAAAAATTCTCAAAAAACTCCCCCATAAACTCCAAAAAAAATCCCCCAAAAAATCCCCAAAAAACCCCTCATAAATCCTGCATAAATCCCCTATAAATTCCCTAAAAATCCCCTGGATTCTCCCTGCCCCCGACCCTCAGCGTTCCTGCTGTGGGAGCCCGAGCGCGTTCCCGAGCGGCTGCGGGCGCTGACCGAGGATCATTCCCGCATGGAGCGGATCCTGCGGCAGTCGGGGCTGCGCTGCGTCTACGTCATGCCCCCGCACATCGCCGGTACCCGGGAAAAGGGGGGAAAAATGGGGGGAAATTGGGGGAAAATGGGGAAAAAATTGGGGAAAAAAATTGGGGAAAATGGGGAAAAAATGAGGGGCAAAATTGGGGGATGTGGGGGGGGAAATGGGGGGAAAAATTGGGACAAAATTGGGGAAAAAATTGGAGGAAATGGGGGAAAATTGGGGAGAAAATTGGGGGGAAAATGGGGGGAAAATGAGGGGAAATTGGAGGAAAATTGGGAGATAAAGAGGGAAAAAAACTGGGGAAAATTGGGCGGAAAAAATTGAGGAATGGGAAAAATCGGGAGGGAAATGGGAGCGGAAAGAGGAGGAAAAATGGGGAAAATATGGGGGAAAAGCGGGAAGAACATTTTGGGTGATCCCAGTTTTTGGCTGATCCCACTTTCCCGGTCTGATCCCGTATTTCCCGGTCTGATCCCGTATTTCCCTGTCTGATCCCGTATTTCCCGGTCTGATCCCGTATTTCCCTGTCTGATCCCGTATTTCCCGGTCTGATCCCGTATTTCCCGGTCTGATCCCGTATTTCCCTGTCTGATCCCGTTTTTCCCGGTCTGATCCCGTATTTCCCGGTCTGATCCCGTATTTCCCGGTCTGATCCCGTTTTCCCCGCGGCAGTGGAGCAGCCGCTCACCGGGGATTACGAGGTGTCGGTGGGCGTGGCCGGCGGGCCGGGATCCTCCCGGCAGATCTCGGCGCTGGATCTCGGGCACTTCATGCTCCGCTGCCTCCGGAGCGACGAGTTCGACGGGAAGAGCGTCTACGTCAGCCGCCACTACCCCAAGGAGTAGGGATCCACCCCCGGGATCCACCGGGATCCACCCCCGGGATCCACCCCCGGGGCTTGGGGGATTCCTCGGGATCGAGTTCCCGGGACGATCCCAGGGGCTGGGGGATCCTTTTGGGATTCACGTCCTGGGATCCTCTCGGGATCATCCCAGGGGCCGGGGATCCCTCTGGGATCATTCCAGGAATTTGGGGATTCCTTTGGGATTCGCGTCCCGGGATGATCCCAGGGATTGGGGGATCCCCCCCTCCCCCCATTCCCAAGGAGATTAAACCCGTGCTTTTCCCAGCCTGGATTTTTCTGGATCTCCTTTGTGGGATCGGGGGGATTTCGGGGGTCCTGAGGGGGTTTTGGGAGGGTTTTGGGGGATCCTGAGGGGGTTTTGGGAGGGTTTTGGGGGATCCCGAGGGGGTTTTGGGAGGGTTTTGGGGGATCCCGAGGGGGTTTTGGGGGGTTCCCCCCCGTCCGGGGCCACCTCGGGGCGCGCCCTGTATGCAAATGAACCCTCGCTCTATGCAAATGAAGCCACTCCGTGCAAATAGTCCCGCGCTGTATGCAAATGAGCGCGGCCACACCCCTCAGCCCCGTATGCAAATAAAGGTCACCGCCCTCTCCTCTGATTGGTCGCGCAGCCGAGATGGGCGGGGCTTGGAGCGAGCACTTCTGATTGGCTGCACGAGGCAGTGCCGTGGCCGCTGATTGGTCCCGGCGCAGCCGTATGTAAATGAAGGGGCTGAAGGGCGGGGTGAGGCCTCCCAGTTTGAGTGGGGGGGATTCCCAGTTTGGGGGGGGGCAATTCCCAGTTTGGGAAGGGGGGATCCCAAATTTTTGGTGGTCCCAGTCTGAAGCAGGGGAGTCCCCATTTTGGGGGCTCCCAGTTTACAGAGGTGCCCCCATTTTGGGGGAATCCCCAGTCTGGAGTCTCCCCGCTTTTGGGGGATCCCAAGTTTCCCTTCGGCGCCCGCAGTTTAGGGCGGGGACGCCCCCAAATTCCGGGGGTTCCCGGTTGTTTCCCCCCGTACCTCAGAGCGGGTCCCGCCCCTTCACGACGCTCCCCCCTCACACCCGAACCTGCGGCGCCCCCTGGCGGCTCGGCGGTCTTCCCGCCTTTTCCCAAGCCCCGCCCCTCCGCTTCGGCCGCGCTCGGGCCGCGCTCGGGCCTTTCCGCCGGGACCGGCGGAGACGGCGGAGGGGGGGGGGGGGGGGCCGCTGGGGCGGGGGCGGGGGGGGGGGGGGTCTCATTGGCCGGTGCGCTCGCGCCGCCCCCCCTCATTGGCCGCTGCGCTCGCGCCGCTTCCGCCGCGCCCCCCCATTGGCCGCAGCGCTCGCGCCGCCGGTGAGTGACAACCGCGCCCCCCCCCTTCCCCTCAGACCCCCGCCGGGCGCGGGGGTGGCGGGAGGGGGAGTCCGCAGCTGCCGCCGCTTCCGCCGTTCTCGGGTAAGGCCCGGTTTTACGGCCTGGAGAGGGGTTTTAGGCCTTGAAAACGGGAGGGCGGCGGCGTCGTGAGGGCCCCGGAACCCTCGAGAATCCCCCCCGGGGCTTTTTCCCGGTGCCCGGCGGGCGCTGCCGGGAGTTGTAGTTCTGAGGGGGTGGGGGGGGGGGAACCCCTGAGGGAGAGGAGGGGCTCTGAGGGGTTGTTTTGAGCGGGAAATTGGGAATTTGGGGGGGTTCCTGAGGGGATTTGGGGTCCCTGAGGGGCTCTGGGGTTGTGTTTTTGGGGGGGGGGCGTTTGAGGAGCCTTTGAGTGACGGACTCGGAGTCCCCGAGGGGCTCGCGGGGCTGCTTTGAGGGGAAAATTGTGATTTTGGAGAGAATTGGAGGTTCCGGGAGGGTTCACGGGATGTTTGGAGGGGAAGACTGGGATTTAGGAGGAATTCGGCATTTTCGAGGGGTTCACGGGGTGTTTGGAGAGAAAAAAAATGGGATTTTTTTTGGGGGGGTGGGGGTTTGGAGTCTCTGAGGGGCTTTGGGGTTGGATTTTGAGGGAATTTTTGGGTTCCTGAGGCGATTTAGGGTTTTATTTTGAGGGAAAAATGTGATTTTAGGGGGGTTGGGGTCCGTGAGGGGCTCCGGGGTTGGATTTTGAGGGGAAAACTGTGATTTTTTGGGAATTTGGGGTTCCTGAGGGGATTTAGGGATTTATTCTGAGGGAAAAAAATGTTATTTATGAAGAATTTGGGTCCCTGAGGGGTTCTGGGGTTGGATTTTGGGGAGAAATTTGTGGTTTGGGCCAGGGTCCTTTTGCCCCCTCCTCAATTCCTTCTCTCAGCCCCTCAGCCCTGGAAAAAGGGGGAATTTTTTGAATTTTGTCCCTATTTTTTCCATACTTTTGGAGTAAAATGCCCTGAAAATGCCATGGAAATGGTGTAGTGATTTCTGCAATTAATTGTTTTAATTAATATTATTAATTAGTGTTAATTTCCTTTCTCTCGCCCAGTGCTCAGCAGGGATTTGGTGCCCTCAGGCTCAGGTAGGGCTGAAAACACCCCCAAAATCACCCAAATTCCACCCCAAAAAAATCCCCAAATCCTTGAAACTCCCCCAAAATTCCGATTCTTCCAAAAGCCGCAAAATCGTCATCAAAAAAATCAGGAAGTTTTAATTAAGTGTAAAATTCGTCTCCCAAATTTAATTTGCACACAGAAAAACCTCGGGAAAACACCCAAAAACTTAAAAATCTCCCCCAAAATTCCGATCCTTCAAAAAAAATAAAATCCGGAATTTTCCAATAAATCCCAAAACGCCTCCAAAATTCCATTCTCATCCCCTAAAAAATTCCACCCAAAAATTCAGAATTTCCCCTGAATTCTGCTGGAAAAACCCAGAATTCTCCTCCCAAAAAAGCCCCAAAATATCCCAGAAATCCCCAAAAAACATCCCAGAGCCCCCAAAATTCCAAAGCTCCCCCCAAAAATTCCCAAAAATCCCCCCAAAATTCCCAACCTCACCCCCAAAAATTCCCCCAAGCCCCAATTAACAAACCCTCCCCTAATTAACGCCTCCCTCGTCATGCAAATGAGCTCCAGGTGCTTTTTGGGGTCTCCCTTTTTCCCATTTCTCCTTTTTCCCATTTCCCCTTTTCCCATCTTTTTCCCCCCAAAATCCCGGGCAGCCCCTGGGGCCCCTCGTTAATGAGTCCCTGATTAATTAATCCCTCGTTAACGAGCTCCCAGCCTGACCTCGTTACGGGAGGGGCCCCTTGGCCCCTTCGGGGGGTTTGGGATCGGGGCTTTTCCCAGATTTTGGGGGTTTTTGGGAATTCTTTGGGAATTTTGAGGTTGAATTTGGGGATTTCTGGGGTTAATTTGGGGTTTCTTGGGATTAATTTGGGGTTTTGGGGGAATTCTTTGGGGTTTTTGGGAATTCTTTGTGAATTTTGGGAGTTTTTGGGATTAATTTGGGTTTTTGGGAGTTGTTTGAGGCTTTTTGGGAATTATTTGAGATTCTGGGGAATTCTTGGTGAATTTTTGGGAATTCTGTTTTAATTTTAGGAATTGACTCTTCATTCCAGGAGATTCTTTTTTTTTGGGAATTAATTTATTATTTTTTAGGAATTTTTGCTTCTTTCAGGATTTATTCCCCATTTCCATGAATTTATTCCCCATTTTTAGGGATTTTTCCTTGATTTTTGAGGATTTTTCTTTTCCCCTTTTCCCACCTCATCCCTCATTTCCCAGCTTTTTTCCCAACCCCCTCCCGCTGATTTTCCCGGAAAAACTCCGGGAAAAACTCCCGGAAAAACAAAAAAAAAAACCCCAAATTTCCCCATTTCCCCCTCATTTCAACCCCAAATTCCTTCAGAATTCCAGGAATTCCCGCTCAAAACCTTCCCCCTCCTCCTCCAATCCCGGGAATTCTTCGGGAATTCTTAATGAAGAACCCCAATTAACCAAAGGTTGGGGGGGCGGAGCTTTCCTTAACGAGCTCCAGAATTAACGAGCTCCCCCTTTTCCTCTGGGGGAAAATCCCGGGATTTTGGCTCCTTCCTCCCCCTCTGGAACCTTTTCCCGGCATTCCCGGAATCCCTGGACTGCAGGCAGGTGGGAATTCTCCGGGATTTGGGAAGGCTGACGAAGATTTGGGCTTAATTAACGTTAATTAAGGCGGCGCCATCAGCCAAAGCCGCGACGGGGCCCGGTTTTATCCCAGTTTTATCCCGGTTTAATCCCGTTTTTTTCCCGGTTTTCCCAGCTTTTTTCCAGCTTTTTTTTCCCATCGGTATTAATTAGGACGATCCCCTTTAATCCCTCATTAATTAATCACCGATTCAACAACTCCTTAAATGAATTAACCCTTTAATTCCCGCTCCTTTCGGGCTCTTTTCTCCTTTATTCCCAATTTTTTTTTGGGATGCTTTCATCCCCCCCAAAAAAAAAATCTTGGAATTTTTTTTTCCCCTTGGAGAAACAACCCCCCCTGCGGTCGGGGAGGAATTAAAGCTCATTAAAAGCTCATTAAGAGCTCGTTAAGTTTTAATTACCCCGAGATGAGGCCGCGGGTGGGGTGGAAAGAGTTAAAATTTCCTTGGATTTATCAAAAATCTCGGAGTTAATGATTAAATCCCTCCCTTTTCTCCTTCCGGGAGAATTCCCAGGGAAACAAATCCAGGAATCCCAAGGCATTCCAAGACTTCCGGAAATCCCCGGATCCACGACGGATCCGACCCCAACTCCTCATCCCCCTTTCCCCCTAAAACCCCGGAATTCCGGGATTTTCCTGGGAATCCCCATCCCGTTAATCCTCTGCTTTCCCCCCCAGAATTCCAGGATTTTTGGGGGGAATTCAGGATTTTTTTGGGGGGGGAATTCCCAGATTTTTTTTTGAGTAATTCCCAGATATTTTTTTTTTGAGGAATTCCCGGATTTTTTTTGGGAATTCCCATCCCGTTAATCCTCCTCTTTCCCCCCACCCCCCTCAGAATTCCCGCCATGCGCCGCCGCCGCCGCTCCAGCCTCTTCCCGCCGCTCATCCCGGAATTCCCGGCTTTTCCCGCCTCCGTCCCGGCTTCGCCATGAGCTCCCCGCTGCCGTTCCCGCCGGGATCATGAATTCCCAGCGCTCCGACATTCCCAGCGTTCCCAAGATGGGCGTCCGGGCCCGCGTGGCCGAGTGGCCTCCGCGCTCCAAAGATTCCAGGGATTCTCCCGGCCCTTCCCGGAGCTTCCCGGGCGGCCAATCCGCCCTCAAAGCCTTTCCCCGCCCGCCCCGGCGCCCCGCCCCGCATTCCAAGGAGGTGGAATTCCAGGAGGGGTTCCCGGGAATGCCGCTGAGGCAGCGGAGCAGCAGCGAGGTGACGCTGAGCGAGTGCGATCCCGAGGAAGCCCCGGAAATGCGCGGGAATTCCGCCGGCGCCGCCGGACTCTTCCGGGAATACGGCAGCACCTCTTCCATCGACATCCAGGGAATTCCCGAGCAAAGCTTCTTCGAGATGCTCAACGAGTTCCGGACTAAGAAACCGGAGTTTTCCGGGATCAAAGCGGAAAACCGGGAAGAGCCCCCCCAGTCCAAGGAGAAACCGCGCCGGCGCTGCCTGAAAAACGACGACTCCATCTTCAAAAAACTCCGCAATCCCCGGCACGACCCCGATCCCAAAGATCCCGACGATTCCCGCCTTCCCGAGCCGGGAAAGTCTTGGATTTGCCGGAAAAGTTTCGCTCATTTCGACGTCCAGAGCATTTTCTTCGAGGCCGTTTCGCCGGGAATCGCCGGGACCCAGCGGCGGAACACGACCACCGGCGCTTCCGCCGCCTCCGCCGGCTCCGATCCCGCCTTTTCCAGCACCGAGGACCTGAATTCCAAGGAAAACTTGGAGCAGGATCTGGGGGACAACACCAGCAACGAGCTGCTCCTGAGCTGCCCCCACTTCCGCAACGAGATCGGCGGCGGCGCCGGAGAGCGCGACGTCAGCTTCTCCAAATCCGCCTCCCCGCCCTTCCCGGCTGCTCCCGGCGTTTTCACGGAATGCGGCCACGTCGGGAAGCCGACCAACGCCGGGATCTCCGTCCTGGAGTTCCCCAAGGAGCAGCAGAGGAATCCGGAAAGGCTCCGGAATTACAGCGTGGAGCACGTGGATTTGGGAGCGCGCTACTACCGGGATTATTTCCACGGGAAAGGTTCGGGAGTCTCCAGCGGGAATGGAGGGGCAGGATTTGCCCCATCCTGAAATTCTGTTGTTTCCTCTTCTCGAGCCTCCCCAAATTCCCTCTTTTCCCAATTCTTCCCATTTTTTTTTCCCCGAATTCCTCACATTTTCTCCCGTTTCCCTTCATTTTTCCTGCATTTTTCCCCCCATTATTCCCCAAATTTTCCCCATTTTTCCATGAATTCTGCCCCCTTTTTTCCCTGAATTTTACCCCCCTTTATCCCTGAATATTTTCCCCCCGAATTACCCCATTTTCCCCTCTCCAATTCCCTTTTTTCCCCACTTTTCCCCCCAGAACATTCCAACTATTTTGGCGTGGACGAGAAGCTGGGCCCGGTGGCCGTCAGCATCCGCCGGGAAAAGCTGGAAGAGCCTTCGGATCACGGCCCCCAGTTCCAGCACCGCCTCATCTTCCGCACCAGCCAGGTCCCAACCGGCCGGGAACGCCACCGGAATTCCGGGGGAAAAAAACGGGATTGGGGGGCGTCGGAAACCGGGGGAGACCGGGGAGAATTCCGGCCTCAAAATTCCCATTTTTCCCTGGTGGGAATTGGGATTTGGGGTCAGGGTCGTGGTCCCCGGTTCTGCATCGGGAGCGGGGCCGGAATTCCCGGGAAGAAACGGGATTTGGGGAGCGTGGAAAATTGGGGGAAATCGGGAAAATTCTGTCCTCAAAGACTGAATTGAGCCCTTGGAATTCCCAAATCCCAGAATCCCCCAAAATCCCAGGGATCCCCCAAATCCAAAACCTTGGAATTTGGACGTTTGTCCCCGTGGAAATTCCTCAGGAAGAACCTGGGAAATGGTGGATTTGATTCCGGGAAAATTCCCAAAAATGCCCTGGAATTGGTGGATTTATCCCCACGAAAATTCCCAGAAATTCCGGAGCCGTTCCTGCTCCAGCTTCGAGGATTCTTGGGGAAAAATTCCCTCAGTTTTGGGATAAAATTCCCACAATTTCGGGATAAAATTCCCCCAATTTTGGGATCAAATTCCCACCATTCCAGCATAAACCTCCCCCAATTCCAGGGTGAAACCCCCGGAATTTTCCCTCCGTTCCTCCCCGTTTTCGAGGCGTCCATCCCGGATTTTTTTCCCACTTTTGATCCCGGATTTTTCCCGTTTTTCCAGCTGCCCACGCTCCGAGGCTCCATCCTGGAGGACGCCACCCCCAGCGCGTCCAAGGCCGGCTCCATCCGGGGGATCCCGCTCCGGGACGTGCTGGAATTCGTCATTCCCGAGCTCAACATCCACTGCCTGCGGATGGCGCTGGCCACGCCCAAGGTCCCCGAGCAGCTGCTCAAGCTGGACGAGCAGGGGGTGAGAATTCCCGGGATTTCGGGGGATTTCGGGGATTTTTTTTGGATTTTTCGGGGAATTTTCTGGGAATTTTTGGGGATATTTTTCTGGATTTTCTGGGGATTTTTTTTTGGATTTTCGGGGAATTTTTGGGGATTTTCTGGGAATTTTTTGGGGATTTTTTTTGGATTTTCTGGGGATTTTTTTTTGGATTTTCGGGGAATTTTTTTGAGGTTTTTTTTTTTTTGGATTTTCTGGGATTTTCAGGGAATTTTTTTTGAGGTTTTTTTTTGGATTTTCTGGGGAT